GTGTGTGTGTCTCCATTAGAGAAACAAAGCTCCTCCCTCTTCTTTTAAGACAAGCATTAGTTGACCTCTGGTTTCTCTTGTGTCCTAATCCTATTGTAGATTTGCTGTACTTACACAAACTATCAGCAGCTTCACCGAAAGGACAGCGTTACATATTCAGTCAATGTGACGCCAACCTGGTAGAATTAACCACACATCACATGTACTTTTTATTTTCCAAAGTATGAACATAGACATTTTAGCTTTTCAATGTTGTTTTGAGTTTTATTTCCATGTTCTTGACTTTTTATACGTCTCTAAATAAAACCTCAGCTATCTGGCTTACCTTAGTTCATCTCTACACAAATACACTTTCATTTTAAATCATTGAGAAAAACAGAAAAAACCTCCACATTAAGTCCATATCATCCAATTTTCTGATTATTTCTGTCTCCTTGGAATGTTACTTTGAGACTGTGGGACTTTTTGTCGACTTTTTGATTTATCTGGACTTTGGCCTCAGTGTCACTTATTTGTACTTTCAGTTTATTACTTCCTGTTTTATTTTGTACTTCCCTGTGTTTCTCATTACAGATCACTAGACTTCCTGTCTGATTTGCCCTCTCCTGTGATTATGTGCACCTTCCCTAATGTGTCTCACCTGAGTTCAATTGTCTCTTTTGTGTATAAAGTCTCTGAGCTCGACACTCTGCTCTGTCCAATTGTCTCTTTAACATCCATTTATTTTCTTGTGTGTTGGTTTCGATGGGTTGGTCTCTTTCTTTTGGTTTGTTTTATTTTGTTCTATGTAGTTGTTTTAATGTGGACTTTTATTTTTTTGCTATTTTCATTAGATGCTTCCCATTGTACCTGCTTTGTGACTTAGCCTGCTTTAGGTTCTGCCATAACAATAAATGTAAAGGGTCTAGTGTGGCTCAGGCTCAAACCCAAGAGAAAACTAACCAAGCTTGACCTGAACCCAACAAGCATCCTTTTATTTTTTGTCCGAACCCAACATTTTCCCCAATAACAAGCATGTGTCTTGTAAAAAATCAAGTAGAATCCATGTGACACAACCCAACTCAAACTGGAATGTATTTTCAAAATGTTTGACCAAACCCGGCCCGGTCCATCAGGTCCTGAAGGGCTTAGGTCTTGTATCCATTCTTTAGTCCAGTATCTTGAAATTCAACCAGTATGTATGATTGTTTGAAGGAAGGTCAAAGAGTTAAACTCCTATTAAAAAGCTTTGTTGTACCTATGGCAGATATATGAATGGGTTCCAGGGTTACTGCAGACTTTACTGCAGCTGATATGCAGCCCTTTAAAACATATAATTTAAAACTTAAACTACAGGGTGGCACATGTAGTGGCGTTTGCTGAGTGAAGCCAACACTGAAGTGATCACAATGTATTCCTCTCCTTTCTATAACATCTAACAAAGTGATGACACTGCAAACCCTCTGTGACTTTGGATGAATGCAGCAATGCAAACAATGATTTCACGCTCGTCCTCTCTAATTCAGTGTTGATACAGAGTGGAATATTGTTCTCTGTTATCTGGGTTTAACTGTTGCTGAAGATAATCTCTGTATTTCAAAACTCAATCCCTTGCTACTCATTATTGTAACAAGAAAAAAACACTGATACATGTTTAAGTGTTGCTGCCCGACACTGCTGATCATTTACATATCTGTAGCTTTCACAGAGGTGATGCAATGGTTATTTATGGCGGATTAATACTAATGAAAGGGCCACGCTGAAATGTGGTGCTGCATACAGTCGACTGTTGTAGAAGAACTGTACAAATGGAAATAATGTCCTACATTTTCATACAGTCTCTGCTTGAAGGCATTCATGGTGCTGCACTCACACTCTTGTACAAACACAGTGAGGCAAGTGGTTGTGTGAATAGTCAAAAAATAGAACTTGAGAGAAAAAGTTCAAATTCTGCTTTTTTTCCTCACCCTTGCGCACATGGCCAACTATGACACAGCTGTGCTTGTGGGCTTAATAATCAGAATGTGACAAAAATAGTTGGACATTGTCAATTTCTGCTCATCATAGACATCAGTCAGTGGACATGCAAAGAATCTGGGGTTTCAATTTCTGTCTGTTATGCTCTGACATGTAACCTCTAGAGAATCATGCAGGGAAAGGAAACAAGTCTACAGGCTGCCACCAGATCTGCTTTGGCAGGTCTGTAGTGGATTCTATTAAGCCTTTGTCAGACATGAATGTTTTTATTTACAGCACATCGACACTGGTGTCAGTCGTTACCACCAGAAGCTCTCAAATCTTCACTTTGACATCTTTGTCAATGCATTTTACGTGTGCGTCATTAGCAACATGCCCACTCACTCGCTGTGACATTTACCAGGGGGCAACTGTCTTGGACAGTTCTCACGTACAGCCTGGAATATTTCAGGAACACATCTATAGTTCAGTGCATGTCTCTAAGCAGCTTTAATTAGATAACACATCACGACTAAAGATTTTAGTCACCTCTGAACATTAGTTTATCCCCGTGTGACTAACACTTTACTTGACTCTCAGCTCTGAGATGAGGCTGTTAACTCCGCCCATCAACACTCCATTCTCTAAACTCAGGTTTACCTGCAGGACTCTTTGAGCCATGTCTGCTGAAAGGATTATCTTTGATTATACACATTCCTGTCATGAGCACAGTTGGGACACACTCATTACATTCTGTCCAGTGAACACTGCCATCACTGTCGCTCCTCAGCTCAGATTTGTGAGACACGTTGGACATCCAATCAGAGCTGAATAGCATCTGGACGAGGTGCTGAGTGCTGGCAGCAGCCAATTTACCTCTTCTCCACTTTCCATAAAGTCTGTCTGGCAGCCTGCCCCTCTGTAAAGTATCGTTATATATATATATATATACACACATACAGGTTGTGTCATGGTCATCTAGAGTCGCCTTGCACTTATACAGCAACACCCTCCTTCAGTTTTCATACACATGCAAGCACTGGCATCTAAGAAATATAATAATAATAAGAAGAAAACAATAAGAAACAACTCTATGGAAAACAAGGATGAAACTCTTTTTGTCATAGATTTCAGTGACCCAGAAATCTGGTCTGGCTGTGTTCAAACCTCCTCTAACCTCTTAACTCCGCTCACCCCCACAATCCTTAATTTCTGATCCTCCATCTTCAGTCGTTTCCTCAATGTGGTTGAGCCTCCAGATCACTGCTCCCTAGATAAACCCTAAGTCTACATCTATCTCCTTAGACCGTCTGATTAGCGCTACGTCACTGAAAGGGGAAGTAATCCCAGTCTGGGCCCAGGAATAGAGACCTGGCTGGGGACAGGCCACAGGAGAGATGCTCCAGAGCCACAGTGCATGTGTCCCTGGGTAATCCCTTCTTAAATAGCCAGTGGGCAGGGAGAAAGAGAGGGAGCTGGGTCAGGGGACGTTATACCGTGGGAGAAACACTGGTCAGTGTCCTGCTGGACACACCACACCGGCTGGAACAGGAGAGGGATTCACAGACAGATACTTTTTAGACTATAGGAGGACGGTTTTCAACCAGGATGAACTTTGCTGCCCAATTTTTCTACTCGAGGTACTTGAGCGAGCGACTTGAGCGGTTGTACTCACCTAGACCTGCAATTAAAGACAGCGAGGAGAATGACCCCTTCTGGCAGAGGTGGGAATTCACAACATGCACTGTAACTCCCTGGATCCCCCAGACCTCTCCCTATCCAGATCAACCTTGTAGTGACAGATTTACTTTCTGCCCTTCGTTTGGAGGTAGGTCCAACTTCTTCAGTGGACAGTGCCCTTGTCATCCATTACCTCCACTTCTCCTCTTCATCTACTCTGTTTACAGCCTGTACCCATAGCAAACACACCCTCAAATCTTCAGTTTCTTCATATGCCACATTATTGCTCACACCAACCACACTTTGGCTGCTGTAGTCACCAATTCTACACCAATTCCTTCTCCTCTAACAGTTTTCCCCCAAAACTTTTTTACTCCATCTAGGTCCCCAGCTGGAATTCCCTCTTCTATCTTTTATCTCCCCATCTTCTAGTTCCTCCTCTTCCTTGCTTCCTTCTATTAGAACTTCTCTCAGAGGAGAGCTACTCTTGTTCCATGCCCTGGTAGACTTATTTCTTCACCTGGTGTTCTCCTCTTTGTTCCCAGGTAATTGAGACAGAGTAAGAGAAAGACTAAGAGAAATCAAAAGTTATTGTTGTATTGTTGGGAAAGTGTTTGTAATTTTAGTACAACACTGTACCACTGCTTAGTGCAATATTGAAATTACATCACATCCAGGGTCAAACAGAGGTTGCGAGTAATTGCTCTGTTTGTCTGCATGGAACAACATGATTATTGGGATTCAATACATCACAATTTTGGGCAACATCTTCGATCGCAGACAAATGAAAGAGAGTCAATTTTTGTTCTTTGTATACAACCCCCTCAGGCGCTACTTATGGTGTTTAAAAAGACTAAAACAAACCAGATAAAACCTGAATGACAGAGGGATACAGAATAGCACTTACAGTGATGCAACACCAACAATTGGGGTCACACGGTGCTAGGAGGCAATTTCTTTTCCCAAATGAACATTGATTCAGTCGGAAAAGGAAGCGGTACAAGCAGCCGATTCGGGCATTTAGTCTTTAAAAGACGCTGAGATGGTGCAATGATGAAAGCTTGGTGGGCTGAAATGTCTCCTTTGCTTTTTGCTTTCTCCTTACTTGTCGTTCTGTTACACCATTTTAAATTACAAGAGCCTATTTTTACAGTCTCAGCTCTTCATCTCCTCTTCTTGAGGCTTCGTAGACTCGCTGTCGTGTTGCTCTTTTACCACTTTGATCTTGTTTCTGAACTGCTTTTGAACCAAATCACAGGTGCAGCCCTGGGCTTTTCTACTCACAGTCGTGTTAAGAGCACATTCTGTGGCTGAATAATGGACTGAGAGTGACGGACAAGTGGGCCAGAGGGCATTAATGGACCCAGGGGATGAGGTGAAAGGTTATGGTGATGTTTATGGCAGATCATTGTGATATAAATAGACTGTTCTGTGTGGAGCTCTGGCAGCACTGAGGAGAATTCAGAGGTTGTTTGAGAAAGCTGCTCCACCTGGTGGCCTTTTGATCCCATTGGCTCACTTTCGCACTCTCCTCCCCGACTTCTTTATTTTACTATTCTCTGTCAAAAAGTTGCTCAGCTCCATGTGGACTGCAGCTAACCCCACCTGTCTGTCAACGGCAACTTTTTACTAACACTGTAGATCCAAATACAACTGGCCTGGCTGCACCAACAACCTTATTCAAAGTTTCAAACTTAGCTGTTAACCATTTGTGATCTGCTTTAGTGGCTAAGGGACAGGGTTAATCTCCAATGGGTGTAATCCTATTATTATATTTCTACTGCGCAGAGGCCTTTAGAGAAACAACCAATGGAAAGAAGAAAGAAATCTGATGTTTAATCTGGTTTTGAACAAAGTCATTTGAGATCAAAATAAAGGAAGTATAGTCTGTTGATTCAGGAAGAAATTTAACCTTTTAAATGAATTATTCGCTTTGATTTTACACAATGTCCATTTACAGAGCGGTTATAAATCACCCTGTCCTGGCTTTGGGCCTACATTACCACTTTTTAACGCTTGTGTCCCTGGAAAAGAGAAGCTGAACGACCCAATGAATCATAAGTTGACTAATAGAAGTAATCTGTCACAGTGAGTGGAAGCTGGGTTGACATGAAAGGTGAATCGATTCATCTTATATGAAGGATTGGGGTGGTGTGTGGGCACGTGCATGTACCACCAGGGTCGAGGTCAGTTTAATTACATTTTGCCCAGTTCTGGAAATATATCTAGATTTAGACTGTGGAATTCACTGTAGAAAGACACATGTTAAAGAGGCTGGTGGCTCTAACAGTGAGGTCTGAAATGCAGTGTCAGTGTATAATTCAATTAGGGAATTCTTCAAAAACTTGTGTGTGTGTTTGGATTGATTATGGTTCCTATACTCCAACGTTGTAAATTTCTACATTGATTACACTTGTTGGTTTTTATCAAAACCGGATTCCCAGGGAATAAAGCAGCTGATGGGCTGTGTGAAGAGTGAAGACATCTTTAAAGTCTGGATCTTATCCATATAAATAAGTTGTAATTGTTGTAATTTCAAAAATACTTCAAGGGGTAACACCCAAATTAAATAAATTTGTTAAACTTTAATTTCAAAAACTAAACTGATACAATTGTTAACTTCAGTTTGAAACTACTTAATTATTTTGTGTGTCAGCAGGTGTATAGAAATGGAAAGAACAGCAACTAAAATGAGGGAGGGATAATTAGTGCATAAAACAGGGGAAAATAAAATGAAGAAAATATTATATGATGTCAGACACTTATTAAAAATGAAGAATTTTCCAATCATTTGTTAATTGACCTACATAAACCTTTTAGTTGAGTTAAGTTGAGTCTCCCTTGGTCTCTCTGCTCAGATCTACTTGTGTTTCAATGTTTCTCTCTCTCTGAATGCTATTAATATTAATGTTTTAACATAGTTATGCAATGTATAGTGTAACTTTTTCATTGTAAAATGTCTAACATTCAAGGAAAGCTTTCTTCCATTAGGTTGTAAAAATCAACATGAAACCAGTTATAAATTAGTAATTCAACATAGCACATATAACTCTATGTCTTCGGTCTGGATTATAATGCTTGTTTTTTTGGAAAACATGGTTAAAAACAATTACTGACACACACACATCTGTAGAATACAGTTAAAAACTTTTCATATAGCATGCATTAGCTTGAAACAAAAACATATGTTTAAGTTAAATAAAACCACACATGTAGTTTATCATTGTGGATTAATGATGTGAGGAAAGTACCAAGTAGTAGAGTTGTGTGAACTCCGTCTGAGTTCCGAGATCTCATTGTGAGAACAGTTTCCCAGGATGCAAGATGTCTAGTATGTAAAAGCATTAGGCTAGGAAAGTAATCATTTACTTCTTGTCTATTCTAATCTAAAAGGTCTAGTCAGGGGATAATTAAACATTTGTCTTTCCTTTTATCACCCAGAGAGGAGCTGCGTCTGGGACCCAGTCATCCCGGTGCCTCTCACAAATGCGGCCCTGTCAGTAATGGCTCCGCATGCCGCAGACTCACCCTCATTGAACCGGAGAGGCTGAAGGACTTTGGTGAGGAGGAGCTTTTCAATGGGGATGTGAAGGTCTTTGACACCAAGGAGGTTGGGGCTCCTGAGTTCTTCCTCCAGGAGCCACCAAAAACCAGAAGAGTCAGCGAGTTCCGTATCGTCCCCAGACCTCCAATCCATTACCTCCGCTTTGAGGACATCAGTGCGGCAGCGTTCAAGATCCAGTCAGGGATACAGAAGACGCCCTGCACGGTACGCTAGCATAGCATGACCAGAAAATATACAGTGATTTGGTGGAAGAGAAAGAAGTGGGTGACGTCTGACCTCTGTTAGAAGTTTGTCTATTAGGTATTCATACATTGATTTATTATGTATTATATTATATTATATTAAATGTAATTTTTATTATTTATTTTATTGGAATAAAAATAATGAATCTGTATTTGTCACATGGAAAATGGACGACAAAAATGAGGTGCTGGTGATAACATCATTGTGAAGATGAAAACCAATGGTTGATTTACAGATGTTTCTGTATTGATCATTATCAAGGCAAATACCAAACAGTCTCATACGATCACCCATCATCAGGAAAAGACAATCCTCACTTTCCTCATTTTTCCAGTCTGTGGTGTCACGTCAACATAAGTATTCAGATCCATTGCTACATCTCAGATACTCCCATTTCTCTTGATACTCTGTGACTTGTTTCTACACCTTGACTAGAGTCAGCCTGTGGTGAAGTCCACTGACGACATGATTTGACAAGACACACATCTGTCTGTTCATGGTCTCACAGCTGAACATGTTTATCAGAGTAAAAACCAGGTCAGGAGGTGGAAGGAGCCACCTGCAGAGCTCAGAGACAGAGTTGTGTCGAGGTACAGATCTTCAAGTCAAAAAATCTATTGCATGAAAAGGTTCCCAGAAGAAGAATTCTTTGTAGACCTGCTTTCTGACCTACCTGAGCAGCCAGGGGAAGGGCCTCAGTAACTCGTTAAAGTTATTTCATCTTGAACTTTGTTTTAGTTTCCGTCAGACTTGGGCAGCAATTATCCGAGCTGTGCTTTTATCACGAGTTTCTTTATTCCTCAGGGTAAATGACAAGAGTTTACTGTAAGGGTCAGTTGAGAAAAAGTTTTTAAGACTAGTTCTTGACAAAAAATCTTGAATAGAAGTGAATCAGCTGAGTTTGCTTTTGAAAAAATATTCATTCCAGCTACGGCAGCTTTGAGAACAGCTACCACTAGACCCTTTGTGTAAAACAACCTGGTGGCACTTTCATTCATCCCTGCTGTTTGTACTGTGTCACAGCTGTTAGGATTTGAAAATGGCCTTGTGAGCTCGGAGAATAACGGCCTTCAGGTTTAATATTATTTAACCAGGTTTAATTATCTGAATCACATTGTGACGGGCGAGGCTGTTTAATAGTTTGTTCGACCTTGAAGACGAACCAGTGGCCTGGTTTTCACAGCACCCTCACAGTGTGTGTGTGTGTGTGTGCGAGTGGGAGAGAAAGTCTTCACATATATTAATAGATCTTTATTCTGTTTAATTCTCTATATATTATATGTATTTACTCATTCCACATGTATGCAGTCTTTAGCATCCTGTTGTATGTTTCTAATGATCATGTTGATTATCACTTTGCATGTTTCCTTTCACTCATGTTCTTTTCTAAAATGCGAGAACACATCTCGATAGCAAGTTTCCTCAAATTACATTTGGTAGAACATTTCCACAGAGAATGTAGATTGATATACGAAAGTAGAATTGCATAGAGAGAACATTCCTCCACCAAGTTCCAACTGTCCTCTTAAATTCAATCAAGCTGCACCAGATTGTACGCACCTTTATAGATATCAATACCCTAAACATGTCATGTCATAATTCATAAAGATCCAGGAATTATTCCCTGGTGACAATGCAAATAAAACAAGCACACAAACAAACAAAACCCCCACTATTTCACACTGTCAAAGAAGTGACAGAAATGCATCTGCCAATTTATCCAGACCTACACCAGAATTCAATGGGGACTATCTTGACCCATATCCTGTCCTTGCACCAAGTTTTTTTGTTTTACATAATCCTGCTGGAAAATAAACCAACCAACAAACAGACAAGGGGGAAATGAACAGGGTAGATAACAGGGTTCATTGTATCTGCCCAGATTTGACCCACATCTCAAAAGCCCCACATCTGGCCCACATACCACGTGGGATGATACTCCTGGTCCAAAAGTAAGCCATAGAAACAACGCATGCCAACCAAAGGTGCCAAATGTGTCCCAAATTAGTTTTGTGCTATTTAGGCCATATTTACCATGTACCGCAAAGGGCCACTTGAAGCCAAAAAGGCCCACATTTGTTATTTTACAAGTGGGCCACGATAGACTTGCATCCCTTTTTTGTGCGCCACAAGAAGTACAGAAGTGCTGCATCGTTGCCTGAGGTGGCCCACATCGGTATGTGCTCTGTGGGATGAACCCACGGTGCCGCTGAATTCACTCCTTAGATCCAACACTGCTCTAAGAATGCTGCTTCTTTGTGTGTTCAGTACTCCAGACTGTCCAAACAGTACGGGATGGAGATCTACCTGAAGAAAGAGCATCTGCACTACACAGGCTCTGTGAAGGAGAGAGGAGTGCTCTACCTGCTCACCTCCCTCTCTCAGGTAAGACTGTGTGTGTGTGTGGGAGTGTGTCACAGGATGATCCCCCTCTGTCAAGCCGTTCAGGTCACAGCTACAGTGATCTACTCTGTGTGTGTTCGTGCAGACGTACTGTACCAATGCTGACCTGTGACAAAAGTGCAGCTTTAATGCACAAGAGCGTGGGAATGTGTCCGTTTGCACGTACGCTGTACAGTTCTGTGTGTGTACAAGTACAAGTGTGATTTATCTCAGACAAATGAGACAAGTCACATTCAATTAAACAACATTGCAGCAGGCTCGTGCCACCGCGGGTTCCTCGTCACAGACAATTCAAGTCAGTAGTCGGTTAACTTCTTTTATTGCTTTTGCACACACATATACACATCTCAATGTCCTTCAGCTGGGCTTCTCCAGGTTGCCTCCAGCTTCTTCTCGTGTGTGTGGGACCTCGTGACCCAGCACGCTACTGCTGATATAAGGGGGGAGAGAGTCATTAGCCAACGCAGTACACCTGTACACAATCAGACTCTCTCCCTGGCACCAATCCCTGAGCCACCTGCCCACTCTCTCCCTCCTGCCACCGACACTAACCACCCCCCACTACCACAAACATCAACGGCACAAACTGCAAGATATGTTGCAATAAGTACATTTAATTTAATTTAATTATATTTGTTTTAAATTAGAGATGCTCCAGATTGCCCTGAAACCCCTCTTAAGATAAGTGGTACAGATAATGGATGGTTAGTTTCAGTTGCTGTCGAGGTCAAGTGGTGATTGACTGAGCACAGGCGAAGAAAATTACTCTTGCACTCAACGTGTGTGTCCTCTTCAGTGAAGCCATGTGGAGATCCTCTTTGTGACAGGAAGCTTTAGGGAGTATAGGATATGTCAGCATTTTTTTAGAAACTCTATAACAATGTTGACTCAAGACAAACGCTCTCACAATACATAAATGAGTTATGTTGCTGTTATTCATTGATTTTTTTGTTTAGTTATTTATAAGCATTTATTGATGGTGTTGGAAAGTCTCATTTGGCTCTTGAGGTAAAAAAATGAATCATGATGATGAAGTTAAAGGGATTCGTCCTGGCTCAATGCATCATATTGTGGTACTGTGGAGAAATCTGTGAATACCTGGAGAACAATGTGTATTTTTATACTTTGGATTGAAAAATATAAGAACAAATCATTTTTAGTTTGTATAAAGTTATTTACTCAGGCTCCCCCTGTGACCCTCAAAGGATAAGTGGTAAAGATGATGGATGGAGTTCTATATTTGCCATACATACATACTTGTTAGATATATGTGAGTGTATCTATCAAGTGTGTGTTGATGTCTGTGCAGGAGCAGCAGAGGAAGGGTGTGATCGTGGCCACTGACTGTAACTTCTCCATGGCTGTGGCTCATCACGCAGTGGAGCTGAAGATCCCGGTGTTCGTCATCATGCCGTCGTGCTGCTCCTCAGCTCGCCTCAGGATCTACAGAGACTACGGCGCCATGGTCATCTCCTACGGCAGTATGGGCCACGACTCCCGGAACCACGCCCGCCATCTGGCCAAAGAGAACGGATACCTCTATATGGAAGAGTCAGTCCCACTAATATGAACCAGTGACATGTGACGTAGCAGAGAGGTTTAAAATTCATAGTCTCAAATTTATATCTCTCCCTTTTGAATGGAATCAGATCAAATGTTTATTTACAACTTACCGACATGCTTTAAACAGGTGTATGATTCATAAATGTGGTAAGAGAAGTTATTTTGCAGTAAGTTGGCTCATGGTCAGAGTCCAGCAGCCACAGACAGCACAGCATGCAACCTTCATGTGAAATATTTCAGATTCTCCTCTCTCATGGGAGACATGTTGACTTGTCTGGGCAGAAAAAAGCTCAGTAGTAACTTTTGACATGAAATCTTTTCCCACTTAGTACCGTGTCCCTGTAATCACTCTTGTGCTTTTCCTGTAGTCACATGTGAATGCTGAGGGAGGGTAATTGTGGAAGTAAAATGTATGAATCCTGATCATCGGCTCTGCATTTCTCCTCCTCATCAGTTCTTCTTGTCGTTCTCCCACTTTCTGTCTTGCAGAGATGAAAGTGCAGCGTACCTGGCAGGACTGGGCACCGTGGGCATGGAAATCTACGAACAAGTGCCCAAACTGGACGCAGTGGTTGTTCCTGCAGCTGGACAGTACGGTCTGCTGGCCGGCACCGCGGCCGCCATCAAACACCTCAACTCACAAATTCTTGTCATAGTAGGTTGATGCAGGGATGTTTGATTTTAGAGATTAATGGAAGCATTTATAAACATATCACTGTTTCACTAGGCCTACCTTGTTGTTGCCTCTGTCTCACATCAGTGTTGTGTATTAAAATGAGGTCACATCTCATTAAACCTCATTTCTACTTGCACCTACATCTCTCTGAATATCCAAGTGCTTTCTGATTATGCTTCAGTGGATAAATGCATTATTCCATGTTCCACTTTCTACACCATAGCTGTTATTATTTACACCAGAGGAAAAGGACTGCCCTCTTGAAATATCTGTGCACAATAAGACAATCAATCAAATTCACTGTCAAGTTGGATCCAGTAGTGAGCACAATGCAACATAGAAGATAACTGTGGTGACCAGTTCTTTTGGATGAGCCTGTTATCATTGGAATGACATGATGTAGACAGAGTATATCAAATATCTGCACGACAAGGTGAATTCAAATTATATGAAATGACCCTGAGTAGAGCTCATAAATACCCACCCTTATAAAACCACATTTAAATTCACTAGATCCTGATTTTTTTCATCAAGACCCATGAATTATTCTCTGAAAAATCATGGATAAGGTTGAAAACACGTCCTTTCTCACAATGTCAAAGAAAGTGGAAAAACTGTGTGTGATCTGGATCCACATTAAAATGTAATTTTCTCTGACCCACACTGGATCCTTCCTCCAAGTTTCATGATAATCTGTATGGTAGTTTTTGCATGATCCTGCTAATGATGATAGAAAGATGACCTCCTTAGTGGAGGCAAATATTTCACATTTAACGTCTTGAATCGGATGAACATAATGAGACTGAACATTTTAAAGTCTAGCAGATAAAGGCCTGAGATTCAGTTTCAGTCACTTCAGAACAAATCTAATGAGCATCCCATCAGGCCCTGCTGAATCCTGTGTGTAGTATAGAATAACACATGGTAACATGGTAATACTATTAAAGGTCCAGTGTGTAAGATTTAGGTGAAAGGCATCTATTGGCAGAAATCGAATGTAGAATAATCCTCATGATGATTTCACTAGTTTGTTTCATCTAAATTGTATGAATTGTAGTTTTCTTTACCCCAGAAAAGGCTCTTTATATTTAAATACTTTATATTTACATCGAGGGGACCCTCTTTAGGGAGGCCGCCATGTTTTTTACAGTAGTCCAGACTGGACAAACTAAACACCTTTTGAGTTTTTAGTACATCTGAAGCTACCACAGGTTCTTTTTCATGTTTGAGAACATGGTATATATATGTTAAACATTTGTATGATAGCATTCAAAGCTCCATTGTGACAAAGTTGGCAGGGCTGTATAACTCTGTCATGTATAGAGCTCTAGTTTAAAACCAGCTGTATCCTCCCTCCACAGGGAATTGAACCAGAAGGTTTCCCTCTGCTGTTACAATCTCTGAAAACAGACAGTCCAATCAAAGACATGCACAGCAGCCCCAACAAGAAACTCTACAGAGGTGAGACCAGAACAAAGTGTCCTGGGTGTGTTGCATCAGTGATCATTATCTGCACATGGTTCCTGTTGGAAGCCTCTTAGTTTCCCTCCTGCAGTAACTGAAGATACACGTTGATCTTCTGTGTGTCCACAGATCTTGTGGAGCACTCGCTCGGTGATAACACCTTCCACCTGGCAAAGAAACTAGTAAATAAAGTCATCACTGTCAGGTAACGCTTCATCACGACATGTTTACCCTTGTTAGAATTTGTGTGGAAGAGATTCACAGTGTGATTTAGGATTTTCTGCTATGATCCATCTTAGCGTTTTTCCTGTTGAAAGTATATACAGCTGTATTTTTATTATAAGTCATAAATTGACTTTGGCCTGAAAATAATCTCATGAGATGTCCTTTTTAAAACAGTTAAATCCTCTCTGTATTTATGAATACTGAATAATTATGAATGATAACTAATTTGTCAAGGCCGACCTTTTCTTCTTCCTTCGTCCTCTGACTCACAGTGAGGAGGACTCTCTGGTGGCTATGCTGCGGTTTCAGGAGTTTGAACGCTCCACTGTGGACACAGAGGGAGCCATGGGACTGGCTGCCATCTTGGCCGGTCAACTGCCAGAACTTAAAGGAAAAAAGTACGGCACACTAGATCATAGTGTATAATATTGATTTAGTGTTATCATATCAAGAGGACAGAGACGTGGGACAGAGGCCAACATAAGATAAACTCATCTGCTCGTATTTACTGACCAAAATTGTTTTTTGTTCATGAGACAGATTTTTTTGAAATCTCTTATGAGAGTAAAGACATTTTCCTTCTGGCCTGTGAGGTGATTTCAGCAGTGCTCCAGATGAAGGATGACTCCCCCTCCTCTGTGTTTGTGCTGCAGGGTGGCTGTGGTGGTGAGCAGTGCCAACATGGAGCTGGAGCTGGTGAGGCAGTGTGTGGACCGAGCCCTGGTGCTGGACGAGCGGGTCAGTAAGTTCTCAGTGCAGCTGGGCGAGTGGCCGGGAGACATGGCCAAGCTTCTGGACGTCCTGTCCAGAGCAGACGTCAGGTAGAGTCAACACCTGTCCATTCACAGATCTTTGGTTGTGTTGCTGCATAAATTCAACCTGTATGTTTGATGCCACCTTTAATTTATTTGCTCCTTCAGGTTGTTGGACGTCTGCCATCGGAGACACGGTGACAAGTCCGATCTCTTCAATGCAAAGGTAGGCGACTAATCTCTTCCCTCAATATTCTTCCTCCTCCACTCCAGTTCCCTCACTTACATTTCCTTCATTACCATGGAGCTCTGGTCTTTGAAATGCGGAGGCTACATCCACACTAATGTTAGTGAGCTAAAAATGGAAATAAATTAAAATAATTTTTCTACAGTACGTATTTGCAAGAACCTTGCTTACATAACAAGAAAGATTATTAAACATATTTTAATAAGGCACCCTTTAAACTTAAGGTTTGATTATTAATCAAATATTATTTTTCAATCATTTATTTCATGGATTATGTTGCCAGATTGTGAAATTTCTCTTTGCCTGGTTGGAATCGGATCAACAGAAACAAGCAGCAGAGATTTCAATTTTTCTAACTCACTTCACAATCTTTCCATGTGCAGTCATTTTTACATTTGCTATTTCTATATTGTGTTATCTTTTTACTGACGCTACTTATTTGTACTATCCTGTCTGCTGCTGTAAGACACCAAATTTAAGAATGATCTTAAATCCATTTATCGATTACAATGTCACTCTGTAGAGCACATACCTCCACCAAGGCCCAATTTATAAATATATTAAACATGGGTAAAGGTAACATAAGTTTTATGAATGGTGATTTATTCATGAATTCATGTAATTTCATCTGAACTTGCATTCAAAAACGAATTATTCCCTTTAAAGAATTAAACTTTGTTGTAAAGTTCAGTCTCTGATGCAAATAAACTTGATTCATGACTTCATGAACCCACAGTTTTTCTCTTTGAACACTACAATGGCCTTGACTTACCTTGTTTAAGAAACTTAACTCTTATCATAACTTAATGAAACTATTAAATTGCAATGGAAATAAATAGAATTGTCTCATTATCTTGTGGCTCTGCATTATTACCTCTGCAGTCCACACTGACAAATTGGCTTTATTCACCAGCAGTGTCAAAAGTTGAGAAGTGCTGCGTAATTAACTGGCAACACACTCGCTGCCCTACTTCTGGCATGTGTGTGACATCACAGGGCTAACTGTGTGTGTGTGTGTGTGTGTGTGTTCACAGGTGGAGTGTGTGGTGGAGACCAGGGATAAGACACAGAGCGCTCAGCTGCGTAAGATGCTGACTGAGCGCTACCCTTCTATATGCTGGCTGGACCGGTGATTGATCACAACAACACAAACTATATTCATGATAGAAAAGGACATGACTTACTCGTAAGATCACTTGCAAACACTATCGTCATTATTAAACTGTGTGAAATACAACAATAAGAAAAGAGCTGATCAGCAAACCCTAATACAAGAAGCCTTGAGATTATAGTGAATATTACCCGTCCTGCTTTTATTAATTCTGCTGCTGCTTTGTGCTTTCTGCACCGTGTGAATAGAATTAAGTTCTCATTGTTGAACATTAATCACAAATATAACACTGATAACACTCCCTAAAAACAGCAGCATTAAACAAATCCATTTTCCAAATCCATATTCTTTTTAAACTGTTGTACATATGTATTTATACTGTCTTGATGTGGTATATAGTGTCAATCCAAGTAAACAGGTTAATGATAAATAAAACTAGACAAACTCCACAACCCACTGTGATTCTTTGTTGATGGTCGGATGAAAGCAAAGGGAAAAACCTGGAGGCTTTTGTTTCATAAGTGGGTCAAATAAGTGTTTGGCATCAGTACAGAGAATCTACCGTGAGACACAGGATGTGAGAGTATACGCCATTTCTATACTATCAATCCCTGATTAATGGCTGAAGACAGCTCTAGACTGGGCTGTTTAAGAAGGGCTAATGCTCTTAAGTTCATAAGCAGAGGACAACGTGACCCCATGCTACTGCCTCAGCCTCAGTCAGACGACGTCACACTGTACGTGTGGAGGGACACAAACATCGTCATCTGCTGGAAGTGGAACAGTGGATCAAAACATTGCTGTGTCATTTAACAGTAGTTACAGTGGTGGAGAGAGAATAATCACTTAACACTCATTTCAAAGGCTATTAGCGGAGTTGCCGTCAAATTTGGTTCACACACCTACAGTGTGGTGCTCAGGATGAAACCAGAAACTGGATATAAAGATGCACAACGTGTCTCCACTTCCTCCCACTGCCAAGAAATGCAGCCAAAATATCCCAGATACAAATGCTGTCACTTTGCATGGATGATGTCATTTGGGGCAAGATTCTGCACAGTTGCAGTCTGGGAATTGGACTGCAGTAATCGCGAGTTAGCCTCAGGTATCAATCATGTTCCATCCTGTTTTTACATCATTAAATAACCAATTACAATCAAACTTTCTGGAACAATGAGGCTTTTGATTAGTACTGAACAGAGTATTCTAAAAAACATCTTTGAGAAAACTTCCTTTGTGTATTTTTACTTGCGATTGAGACACTTCAAGGGAGCGTACATGTTGTCCATCTTTATAGACAGTCTATGGGCTAGACAGATAACTAGCTTACTCCTTAGTTGATTATTATGCTGCATCAACGTGAGGAGACAGTAGTTTTAGCATTAGCTAGCCCCTGTTGGCCTGAGCAGCAACTAGAAATAAAGTCTTCCTGCTCCTCACACACTCATGTGCATTTACCAGGGCAACCTTAACTAACAAGCAGCTGCTGTTCATAGGGTGCCTTCGATAGGCCATCTGGCTCTGGAAGGTTCCTAACTGAGTGAGATGACGTGGAGGAACTTCAGTGGCTGCCACAATAAGAACAGTTTGAATTCTCTAAACGATAAGGAAAGGAGCGTATCTCCTTCAGCAGTGGAAACAGACACATGAGTAAAAAAAAAAACAGCAAAACACATTTCAAGTAGTTTGTAAGTCGACTTTTAATTTTGCAGTTAATATTAAGAACTTTAAGTCTGATTTTAAAAACCAAGCACCTCCGTGTAAGGAATGTGAATTTTCATGCAGCAGCTCTTATTTCTGGTCTGAGGCTGGTGGTAGAGAACCATCTGCTGCCAACCTGAAGAAAATAGCCCTAATGCCACCATCTATCCAGGCTGGATGTAAACAACATGAGTAGGAAGAAAATGCATTTAAAGATTCCTCTTGTATTGCACCGAATATAATCTCTGAATATCTAAGGGAAGATTCATCAAGACAATCTCTGATGATTAAATAAATTCTGTTAATAACATGATCAGTATAATCCATTAAAAATATTATCTGTATGGTACCATGTATAGAAAATCTATGGAATAAAATGTCAGTCCATCATGATATCACAAGAAAGTAAGAAATATACGCAGCATATTCATCAGAGTAATATCTCCACTTCAGAATGTTAGTGTTAACACTAGACAAGGCTCAGGTGTCTCCCTCCGATTGTTGTCCCCTTCTGCATGATTTCATTCTGCAGAGAAAGGACAGGGAGGAAGAAGAAGAGGCACAAGAGGAAGTAACCGTTTTGTTAAATTCAGCATACGCAGTGTTATCCCGTCGGCTCCTGCTGCTGCTTTCAGTTCTGTTTGGGACGCTCAGGGTTGTACTTGAGGAGCAGGCCGAGGGAGGCAAAGCCAAACAGGAAGGTCTGAATGAACCACAGGCAGCGAGTGGCTGGGTTGTTGATACCTTTGTTGCTGCAGAGATGTGGAGAAGAAATGATTTACTCAGTCAATAATCTTTATTTGCTTAGCCTCTGTCATACAGGTTGGTGCAGTTCAACAGGCTCTTCACAACTGACTGATGAGCCAAGAATAAGATCAAACATACAAATGTGGATACTGAAATACCATTGAATAGATTTTAAAAGGTAAATAAATGGAAGAGAGAAAGTCAATAAACTGAGATAAAAAAAATAAAGTAATGTAACTTTAATAACAGGTCAAGTTGAATAAAGTTAAAAACANTGTGTGTGTGTGTGTGTGTGTGTTTGTGCTTCGTTGTGGGGGTGGATGGCTGAAAGAGTGACTGTAGCTCATGAGAAAGTGTCTGACAGTGAGAAACACCAAATCAGGGAACAAGTCCTCACTCAGCCAGCAGCTATTGATCGAGGTTCAACAGGCCATCCAAAGGACCATTGATCTGAACGCGTCTTCTCAAGGGTCCCCGTCACAAGAGGCAGTGACACATTGCAAAACATGTGTGCATGTTAAGTCTCATGTTCAACTCAAAACAAACAAACTAAATACTCCGATAAAAAGGGCTGGAAGATGAACTCCCTGGTTCACAGTTCATTTTCCCTTTTTTGAAAAATGGTTGCCAATATCTTCACTGGAGAAAATTGCGCAAAACCACAACATCTAACCTCCTGACCAGATTTCCTCAACTCTTTGAGAAAATGTGAACTTGTGCAGATTCATAGTCACATGGTTCTTGACAGTGTTTGATCAAGGACCATGCCCATGAGGAGGAGCACAGGGTGACACTGTAGGAAATTGAAAATAAACACGCTAAGAGAAAAGCTGTGTAGCTCAGACAAACAAAATCCATTATGGTCATACATACTGTATCTCTCCTGCATATTTGACCATCATAGGAATAAAAACATCTCCGATGGTGATTTGACTTTAAAAATAGATTTATCGCAAATGTCTGGTGTTGCATTGGTTCAGGTAACCATAGAATATTTTGAAATATGTTATTACACGTGTAAACCTGACTAATATTTTGAAGACTCAATGATTCCTGCTCGCTACGGTTAGAAACACAGTATGCCATTTTCTGGTCCTAGGGGTCTCTCAGTCAGATCAATAATAAAATGTGGAGATTGCTCATGTCGTGATCCGCATCGGATCGCTCTGGAGGGGCTGCAAGCATGGCTCCCACTAACGTTTGCTCAGCTTGTTTCTCTGATAACTTATTATCCAGACTTTTAGGAGGTTTTTACCGGAAGACAAATTATCCACAGAGGTCTCCTACTCTCCAAAACAAAACAAACCCAGTGATTAAATCCGGTAAAAGCACTGACTAAGGCAGTTTCATGTTAGAAATATTATTTTCTGTGATGCTGGTTGGCAGACACAGAATGTCTTGGACTGGCTGTGAGACGTCCACTGACCAAAATCTTTTATAGTTAAATTTTGAAGTTAAATAAATGGAAGAGAGAAAGTCAATAAACTGAGATAAAAAAAATAAAGTAATGTAACTTTAATAACAGGTCAAGTTGAATAAAGTTAAAAACAGATAAAAGCATAGATGTAGTAAAATATTTCTATGAATCTTACCTAATCAAAAGCCGGACATTATAATCTCATATTTTTACACTTATATGATAACTAAATAGTTTTATTCTAGTAAAAACCCATGAGAGGCAGCTGATGTTTGTTTATACTAACATGGTGTGAAGAATGTGTGTGAGTGTTTAGACTCTAAGAGTGTTTAGCTTTAACAGAGGCCCTGTTTGATCACAGAAGTTTGAGGGGAGCCAGTTTATTCAAAACCTTTAAATCACACTGCCATCTAGTGGACAAAAAGGTTCTTGTCATTCTTACCTGCACACCCTCAGAGCAGTAATGGCTTCGAATAAATGAATCACCCAGGATGCCAACCACCTGTAACAGACAAACATGAGTTCATCTCCACAGACCCACATTATTCACCATGTTTTGAAATCTCCCTCCTGCACCAGCTGAGTGTTGAATTAACAGGAGTCACATGACAAACCTAAAAGATCAACCACTTCACATGTTTCACAGTCTCAACGACTTCCACTTCAACCATCCTCCTTAAACACTCAGGGCCGTGCCATGCATCACATGACTTAGACCCCAACAGAACATCCTCGTGTGAATGTCGTCTTAAACGCCCCGCCGCTGCGAGAGTCAACAATGAGCTCGCAACCAGCTGTAACGATCTGTTAACGGTGAAGAGCATTAAGGCTTAAGTCAATGAAACTGTGTATTTCAGCCCCTGTGAGTTTACATCATGTGACAGTCACTGATGCTGCTCAACAGAATCTGAGGAGGTGATTGTCTTTGTTTTTAATGAGGGATATCTTTACATTTCCGCAGAGCTAATGAGAGCGACCGAATTAGTGTCGACCACATCAAGCTCTTCAGAGAAGGAAAACTGTGGCTGTGATTATTCACAGGATAGAATTGGATGTATGTTCTATGTACTAGCAATACAGTGAAAGCTTCATCACTCACCCTTTGTACATGATGTTCGCATAATTATCCACAAGGTGTTTGCAGAAGCTGCCAAACACACCAAGGCTCTCAAATGGGATTTTTTCTGGTGCAAACACGGTGCACTGCAAAACACAAGACATGGTATATCAGCATCAAACCACATTAACAATATTAACTATAAATAGCATAAAACAAACACGTGTACTGAACATTTTGAGAGAAAACCTTTAAAAATCAAAGCGTTTGTCATTTTGTAAGCACACATCTGAGTGTTTAACACTTCACAGAGCTTCTCTACATTAGACTTGTCTCCTGAATGGACTTTTTGTGGTGATATTATAATAATAATAATGACAGCTGACTCTGTGGTGCCCTAATGGTTCTGGTCCATTTAGATTTGAATATGGGAAAGTCCATGGTTAGCTGATGATAACTATCATCTGTCTGCTCTTTACAGAATGAGCGATTGTCTTCATGTGAAAAAAACCACTGTGACACTAATGAGCTTTACAGCTGCTTGGATCATAAGTGCAGCCGCTGTATGTGCCGCAAAGGGCATCCTTGTTGAGTGAAATGTCATTTTAATTTATTTTTCACAGTTCTGGAGGAGGATTATTTCTGCATCATGTTGGGTTTTTTGGTGAGGCTTGGTATTTTTGTTTTATCATGTGAACCCAGAGGTTTTCAGTTCTAAATCTGTAAACTCCATAACGTTTCTTCACCGTCATGCAAACTGAAAACCACTGAAATCAATATTTTTATTTGGAAACCAATCTGATTTATTTCTATATTGAATTTTGCTCTGTCAATTTTCTGTAATATATCAAAAGATAAGGGTCAATGCCTGCTAGATTCAAGATTCAAATAGCTCTACAGCAAATTGTTTGTGTGTTCTCAGCCTCACCAGCTGCTTAATTGGATTGAATTTTGTACTGAGCTTCCAAGAATCTTTGAGGTGATTTGCAACATGCATTAGCGATGCTGAAGGTTTTAATAGTAGTCAAATTCATTCATTCAAGTAAATCGTTTTGGACTTTGACTGTAAGTTTTCTGAAAGATTATTTTAATTTCCTTGAACCCTTATGTGAGAAAGTTGCAAGGTACCATTAATTTATTAATGTATTTAAGAACCAGGAGGTCCAGGTGAGTTAGTATGACCAATATGTAATATAAGACTTTCCTAAAAATGAGTAATTTACCACACACACCTAATATTCTTCAGCACAAATAAACATGAGAGTCAAACACACATGGTTACATACAACAAACCATGAATCACAGGGAAGTCCAACAAACATGTTGCATTGTGTCATGCTGCTATTGTCCTCCTCTGTCCAACAGTGTCATGTCAGGTATGTGTCCCTGGACTATAGATGGTGGATGAGACAAAGGGCTTTTGTTGGAAGGGCCCAGAGGCTGCAGGTCATCTATGGTTAAACTGTCAAACACACGTCCAAACACTAAACTATTATGTTTTCAGTTATTACATGTGACACATTTAACCAGGTTGTACAAGTGTTTGGTGTTTGTCTAAACAACTGTACACAAGGCAAGTGGTGGTGAAAGTTAAAACGAGCCTGTACACGACAACTAACTATTTATGTGGACAATTCACAAAACAGAAATGGATTACATTCAGGACTACTCTAAAGACATTTTACAAATATATTTTCTCGATTTGTTTTTATTGATCAGCCACAAAACATTAGACATTAAATGACTAATCTCGATCCATCCCTTCCTCTTGACTACAGGCCGATAGCTCAGCTGCCTTATATTTCAAAGATTTTAGAGAAGGTTGTTGCCAAACAGCTCACTGCTGCCTTGTCTGTCAATAACATCTTTGATGAGTTGTTGTGGGTGAATGTTCTGTATTGGTCCGAGCGTATCTTACTGTGGGTCATAGTATCCTGATCGAAAGGCTCAGGCAGTGGGTGGGTTCTTGCCCCAGACAGCATTGTCCCAAAGGTTACTCACTGTACTGGCTCCCTTTCTCGAGCTGATCTCAGAAATCTCGGTGTCATATTTGAACAGGCCATGAATTTTGACCAGCATAACAAGACATCAGGCAGCTGAATACATCTCTGACCTGCTCCCATCACCAGGAGGTCGCTTAGGTCATCGGATCAGGAAGACAGGTTGTCCCCGGCACTCGCCTGAGAACGTAAGGTGATGGATGTAGCTCCGACATTGTGGAGCACGGACATATGTTCTGCAGTGTCCGTTGACGCCTTTAAAAAGCAGCTGAAGACTTTTCAAACGTACCTTTGTGTCACCTTGCAACGTCTAGTGTTTGTGCTTTAGTTTTGTTTCGGTTCTATATTTATTGTTAACAGCTCTTATTTACTTCTGTGAGGCCCTTTGTGACTCTATTCTGTAAACGGTGCTTTATTAAATAAATATATAATATATAATATATTAGTCCCAACCATGTCCCAATATTGACTGACTACGTGTTAGCTTCACGGTCCCCGCGGACATTTACAGAGGTTAATAAGCAAATATTAACCACTGATAAACAGCTGCTAACATATTAAAAACGCTGCTTCTTTTATACGACACAGAACACACATTTACTAGTGTTGTCTAACAACCGTGTCCTACAGTGGATATCCAAGTTGCCCAGTGGACTTTGTACAAGTGTGTTTGACCTGATCGGCTCCAGATAAGATTCAACATAAACCACAGAGACCCTGTGGATACAAGAATATTATTATTATCACGTGTTGAGTGGAAAAAAGAAAAAAAGAAAGAAAAACATGGAGCTAAATGTCCCCAGACATCAGAAATGTATAAAGACCAAAGACATGATGTAACAGAGAATAATAACTCGACCCGGAGGACATTTTGCGCAACACAACACGTTGGCATTTAAAAAAAAGAAATGGCAACCAGTCAATCTAACTTAATTCCGCATTTCTTCTAATGCCATGCGTTCGGTTGACTTACGGTGAAATACGACATCGCGAGTGTCACCGAGACGATCCAGAACAGGCTGGTTCTTTTAAAGTAGTCTCCTCCATCACTTGTAGCCATGACTGCTGCTGTCAGCCGCTGCTCCGCTCTGGTCCACCTCTCTAATGCGACCGTGTGGAAACGCTGGCGAGGAGTGTGACAGCAGGGAGCGTTCTGTCTGTGTCTTCATGGATGTTACGTAAATGGAAAATCGTAGCGTGAACAATCCTGTGATCGGGTTTCTTCTTGCTATTTAAGATGCATGTTTAATAATATACTCAACATTAGACGACAGCAATGCGAACAATGCTGCCATCTTGTGACTCTTTGCTGGGCCTGTCTCCTGCAGCTGCTGTGTGCTGTGTTACCTGTGTGTTACAGAGGAAACAGAAAACAAATGTGAACCTGCGACTACAAATACATGTGAGAATATTAAAGTTACATAAAGTGGTCCAGTTGTGATTAATGACACATATTGCCAGTTTCAAAATGCTTAAACCAGTGTCTGTTTTTTTCTTTTCTGTAACACATCTGGAGCTGTTTCACCACACAACCTATTCTCCATGATCTCCCTCTGTGAGCAGCTCCTCTAGTTTAGTTTTGGGTTGTTTTTGTTCATTTGTGTCAAGCTGAAAATACAAATACTGACACATACTGATTAAAGCTACTTATTTGTCCTGTATTTTCCCCAGTTTGAAGACAGGCTAACTCGAGTCATTATGTCGAGATATGAATTTAGACTTTTACTTCTAAATTCCTGGTATATGTTAAAAAGCCAGTGATTCACAGAGACCTAACAATACTTCCAACGTCCAAAAACACCCATACACTTTTAACTTCTCCAAAAAACGTCATGACATAGGTTTGGACAAGGATGTGTGGGGGTGCATAACTGTGAACCGGATGTGGAAAGGACGATCTATCACAGACTGTTTGAGTTTTACTTAAAAACAAATACTATCACCACATGTTTGTATTGAAAACTGATGAATATTGTCACTAATAAAATAAAATATTATGTTTATTTGCAATGTATCCTCAGCAGTAATGTGATTAATTTTGGTTTCATACAGATAGTTTTACAACAATATGACTACCTTTTGTTATGCAATTTTGCATAATTAAAAATATAGTCTATTTCAAGTGAAAGGCATATTCAATCAGGAAAAATACCAAATATGATAAACATGATTATACAAAATATTATATATTCAAACTGTGGCCTCGAAGTTAGTTTGTTTGTGCACAATGTAAGTCTTTGACAATCACAGACAGACAGCATCACTGTTTTCCTGTTCAGAGGATTATACTCTTAAATTAACATGAAGCGATAAGCTGATCACGTGGCATTTTGTTTATCTAACTTACACATCTCTATAGAGTCAAGACAAAACTTAAGTAAGCTCTTCACTGTGGTTTTGCATCAGCTGAATAGCCTGCGGGCTGCAGCAGCTTCAGCTTTTATCACTCGATCATTGTATGTAAACTTGGCCAAGGCGCCTATTTGATCTGCTGAAATGCTGCATTGATAAGAGTCTTCCCATATTATCATATTATCAGACTAATTTTAGATAGTGAAGATTTGGTGTACGTTTTTTTATATATGAAAAAAATTCAAATCATTATTATGTGACAATGTCCTTCAGGCACAATAATTCACATGCTGTGTGATAGGATTTGGATAAAGCACAGGGAGAGTTGGTGGACTTTCAGGAGCCGTCTCCACATATGGAGACATTGATTGTGCTGGTTGTCCAGATAAAGATAAAAAGAAATGGTTGGAGCATCAGATAACTCTGCTAGACTTCAAGCTGCACTGTGTTGTAATGCACATAATAACACTGTAAATCTGTTGCAGCACTTTGCCCTGTAGTGGCTGTTTGACTTCTGCCTCTCTATGTTTGTATTTACATTTTCAATGCATTTGACATATAACTGGAGCTCAGAGATTATTAAGGCATGGTTGAGATATTGTATGCTGCATGTGTAAATACAGATATAAGACGATTTTTTCTTTTTTCTAATCTCATTTTTTTCTGGCAGCACGTCTGAAAGAAAAATTAGACATATTTAGGTTAAAAGTCACAGCGATTGCAACAGCTCGGCCATGGCCTGGACATGTCAAGCCATTTGACAAGCTTGACATTCACTTTGATGCATTCATTGGCTGAAATGAGGCCGATGTGTGGGACGGAGTAGCTGCTCCAATTAATCACTGAATAATTAGCCAGCTTTGTTTTTCTCCTGGTGATTGCAGGGAGCTACTCTGCACATGAAAAGACAACAGGAGCCGCTGATAGGCTTCAGCTCAGGCGGCTATTTTGTGTTTTAGCTGAAGTGTGAGTTAAATATTTCTCGGAGGCTTTTGTTGGTTGATCAATGTTCAACAGTTTGCAAAGACGCCCGTGTTTGTGTTTGACACTGATCAGATGACTACCAGGGCCCAAATTTAAATTAAAGGGAAGCTTTGAAATATTAAAAGATATGTCTCGAGTCATTCGTTTTAACCTGACATTTTATATTTGAGAACATCTTTGTCATTAAAATAAGCAACTGTTATAATAATAATAATTATTTGATGATAATTAATTTAAAAAATGGCAACTATTTATTAACCAACACAGAACTTCATAATCAAAATAATCAATCAATCAATCAGACTTTGTATGTCACTTTTCATAGAGTACATACTCACAAGAAGAACCCCCCCCCCAGTAAAAACAAGATTTTTATATGTATAAATAATTGTGAAAAACTAAAAAATAAGTTTCATATATAAATGTCTGTCTTTGGGCCTTGTCTTGTGGGATTTCAATTTGATGCAACATATTCATCTGCACAAAAACACAGCTAGTCACATGTTTGCTGTCTTATAGTAAAGTGGTATCGATGACTCATGAAAGACCCTCTTTGGTTATACCCCTAATCCTCCATGTTATGTTATATTTGCCATTGACCTTGCTGCTACTTTGATAGTGATTAGGTGACAACAGGGCTGGAAAGGCCCCGCTCAGGTGAGAGCACCTCTGTCAATGACCCATCACCCACACCCCACATCCCTCTGTCACCCTGGCCTTCTGAGGCCTCAGGTGATCAATATAAAAGGTACCCTGAACCAGCCAGGAGACACACTCCACAGACTCTCAGTGAAGGAACATACTGTCCAGAGCTTCATTCCTTCAACTGCTGCCATGTGGAAGGACTCCAGCAATGGTAAGAGACGTTTTCTAATCTGTTCTCAAGGGATTTTACAAGAAAGAAATCTGCTTTAAATCTGTTTTGCTAATCCACATTGTAAACTATGTAAACTTTTTATATCTTATAATCATAGATGAAATAGTTCAGTGTGTATTTGAGCTTCACCAGGTGGATGTGTTTTCCTGCACCAGGGAGACTTGTAGTTAGTTTCAGACAGTGGCAGAATTTTAGATTCATTGTGCAGACATGCTGGCACGGATCAGAAGGCAAAACATACCATCTTACTCCGTAGGTGGGCTATAAAAAATCTTCAAGAATCTGCAAATATTACAACTAGGTTTGGTATGATGTGAAAATAAATACCCACAGCAGAAATGATAGTAACCCTAACCCCAGAAACTGCATCTTTAGTCATTAAAAGCATGTTTCGGATAAGGGGCTGAACACTACCTCCATCCTCGCTTTGCTTAGTCCATAAACTTAAAATTTAAGTTCAACATAAACAACTTCAGGTATTACAGCAACAGAACCATGCAAACAGCAAATGAAAGGCAGTTAATAATGTGTACCGCTGCACCGTGCAAATTCAACATTCTGCCGTGGCCATACTGAGAAGCCTGAGGAGACGAGACAATGCTTCTTATACAATAACATCAATTCATAATAATATCAAAATATTTGTTTTCTGACGTGGAACCTGCTCCCCTCTCTCCCCTCAGATGATGCCAGGCCTGCAGGCTCCAGTGGCGGCTCCTCTCGCAGCGCTAGCCGCAGAAAGAGGACCAGCTTCTCCAAGGAGCACGTGGAGCTGCTGCGCGCCACCTTCGAAACCGACCCGTACCCAGGCATCAGCCTCAGGGAGAGCCTCTCCCAGACCACCGGCCTGCCAGAATCACGCATCCAGGTAAGCAGTCACCACAGAACACTGTATACAACCGAAAGCCTTATCTGTGGAATAGATATGAAGATGAAATAAATTAAATTGAGTTGTTTGGAGTAAGGGAAACTGTGAGTTCAGATAAGTTTTTATAGTCTTTATTTAAGAAGATTGATACTACTGTTGTTCCCAGATGTGTGCTTTACACATTGCACTGTGGCTTCTTATCAAACAAAGCCTCTGTTTTCAAATTCATCCTGCACAGAATTGTAGATACCGCTATCACTCTATCTCTTCATTTCTTTATCACAGAGATGACACAAGCTGCTTTTATCAGCATCTTGTTTGACAGCACACATAGACCGTACAACAAGCTCTGACAGCTGACTACTACTAGATGTGCTTTGCCCAGCGAATCATTAACAGAGCACAGTGTGTTTTACTTTATCTGTCCAGCTTTGAATCTAAGCCCCTTGTTTCTCTCCTTCCTGTCCAGGTGTGGTTTCAGAACAGACGAGCTCGCACCCTGAAGTGCAAAGGGGCCAAGAAAGCGCTGTGGCAGACTGACCCCCCCGGTCAGGATGCTATCCCTCATGTTGTCGCCAACAGGAGGCCGCAGGTTGGCCCCATCCCTCTGCCACGTCAGGGCCCCCCACCAGCCTACACAACCCAGGTGAAGGAGGAGATGGAGGAAGCCTGCTACTATGGACAGTGTCCTCCGGCGTACTCCACCAGCGAGGAGCATGGACATTACGGCTCCATGCCTGGGTTCCAGCAGGGCAGATTGCTGGGCAGCAACTCAAGCCCCCACATGGGCAGAGGCTACTGGTCCCAGACAGGCAGCCAAACCCCCCCTGCCACGCCACTGTGGTGCCACTCTCCCCTGGAGATGAGAAACTATGTTTCCAGCTCCAACCAGGCCGCAGCCTTCATGTATCCAGGATCAGCAGATCAGCAGGCGTACATGACCTCCTCCACCTCTCACTCCTCCACCCCAGACACCCCTGACTCTGGATATTGGGATGTCAGTCTGGAGAACAGCCCACCGCAGGACGGCCAGTACTCACAGCTGGAGGAGTCGTGGAGCGGGCTCGCTCTGGAAGGCTGTGGGGA